ATCTTAAAAAAAAAAATAACTTCCTACTTTTGTCATGGCAGAGTACTCTATGGCTGTAGCCTGCCCGAAACAAAATTGAAATAAAAAAACTATTTTGGCGGTAAACAGTGATTAGATTAGACTTCGCTGTAGGTTTTTTGTTAAATAAATGAAACAAAATTGTTATTGAAATTAAATAGGCATTCGTATAATATAAATAATGTGTACCTTACCTTCCTACGTAAGTACGTTTAGTTTATATTACTGATTTTATCGTATATTGTACACTTAATACCTCACTTTGTTAGATACTGTTAGATATTATATAATAATAAATTACTATTATAATGCTATAACTTTCTTTATACTATGTGGACTATTTTATGAATAAATATGTATAATTTCTAGAATTATTAGAACAATAATAATTTATCAAAGCCATAGCGGTGTAAGTTACCTTTTCTTAGTATTTTTCTAACAAGAACATATTTAAGAATATATTACTCAACAATAAACACAGCAATGGGTAACGTAGATATTGGAAAGCACCAGTCACTGTATAGTACGTGCAAATAAACGATTTTGTAGTCTCATTTCTTTAAAATTAAAATTTCAATTTTTAATTTCAGCGAAATATTTATTGTAATATATCTATATATATTTGTATAAAATAAATGTTATAAATTATCTAAGATTTTAAGATTAATTCTAATATTATTGTGTAGATTCTAAATAATATTAAGTAGATGCTAAATATTATGAAACCTCAACAGAATATTTTTAGAGAATGCAATGTATGTATCTATGTATGTATAGCTAAATAATAATAATAAAAAAACTAATAGGTATTACATGAATTATAAAGTATGAGTAAATAGAAACAAACTTATAAAAAACTATTGTAAACCTCTACTCTTGAAAATGAGACCATAACAATACTTTTTTTATAGGAGGGAGGAGGGGGGGAGAAAGTCTCCCTCATCAGAGGGAGACTGTACAAAAGTCGATTGCTTCGGTACCTCTGTCCCATTCGTGTTTTTACCGTGAAGCAGTTTTGTTTGCATGGCTGTGTTTCGGTTTGAAAGGTGGGATATGGCGTGAATTTACTGGGTACAAAGGAATAACACCTGAGTCCTCAGGAATGGCAACGCATGGGGGGTATCATGGGCAAAACAGTATACTCTGTTATGTCCATGGTACTGCTCATGTCTATAGGCGACGGTTACCACTTTCTATCAGGTGGGCCATCAGCTTGTTTGCCATTCTAAGTTGTATAAAAAAAGGAGGTAAAAATGGAATGGCAACTCCGCCTGCGATATCGGTATACACTGGCTGGGCACCAGTGAGAGATGATAGGCGAGGATGAAAGCAGGTAATTTGTCTCATTGTTATGAACATCAGGAATTAATCATGATTTCTAGCGGGAATTGCGAGGAGGTCGACCTGACCTATATTGATATTAATGGAACTATTGTATCCTTTTACTAAAAATCTCTTCCCGCTCCCTCGAAAGTATTACGTACTCCCTCATTTAAAAAAAAAAAAAAAAAAACTAAAACCTACAAGTCTATTTGGACTGTTACACACTTTTGTCATTTTCTTTCGAATTAGAAATTTGATATAACAAAGACAAAATATTTTAAATACACTATTGGGATGCTATGAAAATTTTTGCAATATCTATATAGATATTATATAGATAGGTTATATAACCTGAGGGCCCTACCATAAAATGTTTTCCGAAATTTCGGAGCCGAAAGAAACAGAAATTTGATGTTAAAATTTCATAATACATGCCGTTTGGAAATATTAAAAATGTTAAAATATTGTTCCTTTGGACTTTTATGATAGGATGTATGACGAACGAAATGTTAAACTCCATTTATTGATTCCATTTTGGTATAAAAAAAAACACGAAGTTGAGTCCGAAATTTCGGAATTTCATTTCATGGTAGACCCGCTACTTCTTTATTGCCGACGTTTCGACGTGGATTGCACCACATTTTTCATTGCGTTAAATCCCGATAGTGTATTTAAAATATGAGTAAATAACATGAAAGTATAGAATTGTGTTTGCTGTGTTTGCATGGCTGTGTTTCGGTTTGAAGGGTGGGATATGGCATGCATTTACTGGGTACAGAGGAATAACACCAGAGTCCTCAGGAATGGCAACGCATGGGGGTATCATGGGCGAAACAGTATACTCTGTTATGTCCATGGTACTGCTCATGTCTATAGGCGACGGTTACCACTTTCCATCAGGTGGGCCGTCAGCTTGTTTGCCATTCTAAGTTGTATAAAAAAAATAACAGAACAAGATATTGGATTTTTTTTTTATAAATAAGGGGGTTTTGAGTATATGTTTGTGGTCTCATTGTTCTATCGTCTTTATTTCTTGTTTGCATTTAAAACTATTTCATTTTTAATTTTACTTAATATACATTATTCTATATAAAAAAGACAAATAAATATATGTGTCTAGGTGCCTGTAGTGAAGTGAAACCGTTTCAAACCGTGTCAAAAATAGAAAACTTTTGAAAAGCTTTCTATCTTTGGCAAAGAAAATATTTCGAGTACACTGTCTACCGGTCATTTAATTTAAACAAATTTATTAGTACCTACTAAAAAACTGTATGTTTTACGTATTCTTAGCGTTTAGTGTGTATAAGTTGTAGAATAACTGTTTTTTTTTTTATTTTTAATTTAGACAAGTAGGTAGTGTTGTTTGTTAACTTTTTTTTCATATTGCAATTACTTGTAGAAAATGTTGATAGATTCGTTTTATTTGTTGTATGTTTTTTTTTATAAGTTTTAATAAAATTATAATAATAAAGTTATTGTGTAAGTGTCTACCTTCATTTCTATAGAGTACACGCAAAAATATCAGTACTATCACCTAATTTAATAGATCGTCGAACACAGTTAAAAAATAGCATTCTCTATAAAATACGTACTCTTAATCTGTGACATAGGATAATATCCTTTTAGGTCAGAAAAGACTAAAACTTTAACACGATTAAATATTAGAAGTTTTTAAAAATTTTGTTTTACAAATAAGTACTAATTGAGTGGTGTACAAACTATACTTATTGTTGTGTGAGTTACATTATTATTAAGGATGTTACTATTTTGAATTAAAGTTCCTTTAAAATTATATTATTTGTTATTAATTTAATTTTAGGCAATAAAACTCCTCTCATGACCTTGCTTTCTTTTGATATTAGCGATTTTTTTTAATGGATAATAATGAAATGGTAACGCTGCATATCTAAGTGAGGATGAAAGGAAGACAGTTAGCTCATCGTGACGAAATCAACAAGTATTAATCACTTTATGATTTCTAGGGTAGACCGCATGGAAGTCGAATATACCTTATATTGCTAGTAATGGAGCCGCTACTCGCTTAAATAGATAGTTTAGTAAGAATCTTATTTTTTTTTTATACAACTTAGAATGGCAATCAAGCTGACGGCCCACCTGATGGAAAGTGGTAACCGTCGCCTATAGACATGAGCAGTACCGTGGACATAACAGTGTATACTATTTCACTCATAATCCCCCTCCCTCCTTGGGGGAGGGAGAGGGATTATGAGTGAAACAGTAGACATGAGCAGTACCATGGACATAACAGAGTATACTGTTTCGCCCATGATACCCCCCATGCGTTGCCATTCCTGAGTACTCAGGTGTTATTCCTCTGTACCCTGTAAATACACACCATATCCCACCCTTCAAACCGAAACACAGCCATGCAAACACAACTGCTTCACGGTTGAAACACGAATGGGACAGAGGTACCCAAGCAATCGACTTTTGTACAAAGTCTCCCTCTGGTCTTTTATCCAGCAAAACCTACGAATTTATACCGATTCATCGTTTCATATAATTCTTCTTGTGTATTATACATAACTAAGTACTCTTTGATGTTATTAGAAAAACACTTTTTCACAAAAAAATTTTGTCAGCAAAATACTTATTAAAATATTGCCAGTGTATATGTTTGTCTTAATATTTTTCGCTGATAATGGAATTTACCATATGTTTAGGCACCGAATGTTTAGGATGTCATGCGTCATTCGCACATTGATAGCAAATAATATAAATCTGGAATGTAAAAATATAATAATGAATCTTAGTGCCCTTGCGGCGCCGGAAGACTGTACAGATAGTGCGCCTACGCAACACGCGCCGCTTAGACTTCGCCAACATTTTCCATGAGTACTTTTTTTATTTGAAAGGGTGGCAACGAGCATTTGGCTATAAAGAGTAGAGGTAAAGAAAAATATCTCTGTATATGAAAAAGCGTGAAAAATTAAAGTGGCCCTAGAATAAAAAGTGTGTAAATTTTAAAACTAAGGAAAGTAAAATTTCCGCTTTTTAATAATGCACTATTAAAAGTAAAATTTAAAATAGAAAAACAATTATGTGATGTACAATTAATGTTATATTAAGTATGTATCGATGTTAAACCTAATTATGCTTTAAATGGTAAATAAACAATAATATTTAATTAATTCACTTCAATACACTTCTATCAATAACTACTAAATTAGTTTCAAACAATTTTGCCACTCTGACGCCGTTTCGCAGGGATTTGGAATTATTATTTACAGAAGAACACTTTTGTTTTTCTGTATTTTCCTGCATATATGATAGTTTTCCTTACCTCTACCCTCTATACATATGGCTCACCTGATGGTAACTGCTTACTGCAGCTCAGATACTAACAACATTAGAGGAACACTTCGCTTCAGGAAGAGATTTGGGAAATATACTAAACTTATTATAGATATATAATAAGTTTAGGTACTATTGTAATCCTTTGGAGGGGACAATAAAGAGTATCTATCTATTTATCTATCCACAGGAATAACAATGCTCGGATGTTGCCATGGACATCTTGCGATGCCTATGGTGTTGCTCATGTCTATAGACAACGGTTATCCCTTTCATATATCTGAACTAGGAAATCAAAGGATACAACCAACCTAATTTAAACTTTTTAAACATATGTGAGTATACTAGACTACAAGGTTGACGAGCCCGTACCAGGGCCTGGTGCCTGATACCACGCGGCACGCTGCACTAGTTCTTGCGAAATGGAGTCGCAGGCGGCCGTCCTAGTGCTCACGTATCTCATCTTTCTCTATGGTAAACAAAAAAACTAGTATCTGTGATTTACTAATTTTATATTATTTCATTCCATTTTCAAAACAATGGATCTCTGGTAATGGCCAGAAGTAAAAGTGCTTAAACCTATATAATGTACAAAGAATAGCAAGTTCGTACAACATACAGGTGGGTGCGAGGTGTGTGCTGACTGCGACAATATAACGCAGTTCTCGACGCAGCTGGATACGCTGTTGGCAGAATACGACCGCGAGTCGCCGCCGGCTTCCCTCGTCATCATCGAGCTCGACCTCGACCCCAGGCATGCTTCCATCCAAGAAGACACGTCTACAGCGCGTATGCTTGCTGATTTGCGAATGGTGTGTTTTTGTTTGCTATCTTCCTTCGAATGATTTGCCTTTACTAATTGGAATGACAAATAGCAGAAGTCTGAAATACATAACCAGTTGTGAGAAGAGGTAACCGTCGCCTATACATATAATCAACTTCTTGAACATGGCGAAAAATGCTTAGATGCTCTATCATGTGCCCCTAATGTAACTGTTGTAGGCCTATCGGTATATTAATTAATTCAATACCATAAAGATACTAAAACTATGTTGCCTTTCTTCAGTTAGATCAGGTAAGTATTGTTTTGTACAAAACATTTCCACTAACTACTTCATTATGTCGGTTTATTTTGTTCCGGGAATATTATTAGATAGGTATTATTTACATACATACAATATTATAAAAATAGTATTTGTAAACAGGACGCATTACTAACTAAAAAGTTTAATGATTAGCGCGTTGTTAAGTTCTGTTTCGAAGTAGATGATTTTATGAAATACATGTGGAACAGATATTTTAAATCACAACACACAATATTAAAGACTACCTTTAATTCAGACTTGGGAGGACAGTCGCATCACGTGGAACTCGACAGACTGGGGGTGCGAGAGTGCCCTGGCTCCAGCGGAAAGACTCTGGTTGCCAGACGTAGGGTTGGTAAACGCTGCTGCAACCGGGGACGAAGCTGGACTACGGGCGCGTCTCACCAGCGAAGGCCGAGTCACCTGGCATACGAGGTTCGACGTCAATGTACCCGTTGCTATGCAGCTTAAAGACTGGCCTTACGACGAGCAAACAGTCGCCTTCAAATTCGCTTCTAGAGGATATACCTTGGAACAGGTGGAGTTGGAGTTGAGTGATGATCAGGTAAATTTAATGCACATTAACTATTGGCGATGCTCTAAATATTTTTTATATGCAAATACGATTTGAATTACGATAAAATGATTATGAGACTAACACTGAAGTAAAATCTATTGATTATTGAAAAAATTACGAGTATCAAAGGAATGCTTCAAGTTTTTCTCTTTGTAAGAAAAAGCAGTTTTCCTAATAACATTTAAACAGACTGTAGCTGGAGGCACAGGACCTCCAGTTTCAGTTCGCTTTACGAGTTTAAAATTAATATCAAATTCGCCAAACAATAACAGTTTTGGGGAAACCTGAAAATGTTTTACTAGCAGCAAGCGACAGTTTCGGAGTCCGGCGCATGGGAGCTGGTGTCCGTCATGGGTACACGCGCGGTTTGGATGCGTGGTACGGACTCGCGGCGGCTGATCAGCTGGCAGGTCACCCTGAAGCGACGCGGGGCGGCGCACGCGCGGGCTTCTGCCACCGTGCTATTCGCCACTGTGCTGTTATTGGCGGCTGCGATGGTGTTACCCCCTGAGCACAGACACCCGCTATACGCCACTGCTGCGTTCGTTGCGACTCTTTGGTACGTTTGAACTTTAAATTATTAAACTAAAGCTCTACTTGATGAAAAGTGATCTGCTGTTGTCATGAACACTGTGACTCTGATTGTAGCCTCCGTGTGTTACCATTCTGAGGACTAAAGTGTTATGCCTCTTTATCCAGTAAGTTCAATGCCCTATTTCACCCTCACAAAACTAAATGCAAACGTAGCCGATTTATATTAGCCGACGCAATAGCTAGTTTTTTTTTATACCACTGAGGTGGCAAACAAGCATACGGCCCACTTGATGGTAAGTGGTTACCGCAGCCTATGATCACCTGCAATACCAGAGGTATTACGCGCTCGTTGCCGACTCTGAAGAAACCTCTTTACTCCCCTTTTGAAGAACCGCATGCTGTAGTCTCTTGGGAAAACCTTGGCAGGGAGCATTAGAATTTAGTTTCTTTGTCTTTTGAACTATCCCAGCCACCTTGGTTACTGTACTGATTTCTTCAATTCGGATTATATCATGCAGCGAAACTCCGAGCGTGGCCTTCTTTAAATTTCACGTAGCATTTTCGATTCAAGCTGAACTACTTCTCTGATGCCGCGTGGTCTCTGCATAGAATCGGTTACCCCGTCCGTTCCCGTGGGTGTCGTAAGAGGCCAGTAAGGGAACTTAATGGTCGAAAGATGAGTAACAGCGTCCCATTTAAAACATCACCGAAGCCTAACTGCAGTTGTCAATCAAGCATGGAAACTACTGGCATAATCTCCCATATGGGGCAGGCTATTCAGCAGTGGACAGTTAATGGCTGATGTGATGATGTAAGATGGAAAATAGTAACCTATAAAAATCGTCATCTATCTATACTTATAATAAATCTGTAGAGAGGTCAATTCTGTACATGAAATGTATTTCCAAAATAACTATTAGGGGGTGATTAGTGATCGATACTGATGCCAAAAATGCAATCAGTAAAATTTTTGTCTGTCTGTCTGTCTGTATGTTCGTTATAGAAACAAAAACTACTCGACGAATTTTAACGAAACTGGGTACAATTATTCTTCATACTCCTGGGCAGGTTATAGTATACTTTTCATCACGCTACGATCAATAGGAGCAGAGCAGTGAAGGGAAATGTTGGGAAAACGAGAGAAGTGACTCCATTTTTAAGCTTGCGTCTCGTGTGCAGCCTTAATGGCCACTTTTTAAAATGTAAAAATGTCCACCAGTGCGAAGCCGGGACGGGCTAGTCTTATAAATATTAATATAAATGACAGTTTCAGCGAGCATTATGGATGGACGTCATCACTGTGATGATCAGGGCACCTTACATGTTTAGCCTCCCTGTTTCGCGGTCATATCCCTACCAGTATAGATGGTTAACCAAAACATTGTTAAATTTCAGGTTGATATCAGCGCTGCTCCGGCTACCGAGCTCAGCGTCCACGCCAACGCTGCTGACGCTGCAGGGGGCGCTGTGCGCGTGCGGCGGCGTGCTGAGCGTGCTGGCCGCGCTCGTGGCCCGCGTGGCGGTCTTCACGTCGACCCCACCGCACGCTCTACGGCAGTTCGTGTTCACTGCCTCCAAAATTTGCAAACTCTCATTGCAAGAGGTAACTTCAATTGTTTGTCTGCTATATATATTTATATCAATTATTCTCTCTTTTTCAGTCGGTATGTATTAGTACATTACTGCCGCGGCCAGCAATTGAGACATTGATGGACGAACGTTCAAATGTGGGCCGAGGCGTAGCCGAGGCACACATACTTGAGTCCATCAATGCCTAGTTGTGGCCATGGCTTATATAGTACTTTTCTCAAACAATGCGCGGTAATCAAAAACACAATTTTACTTTTTAAGTTCAATGATGAATAACGAACAATAATAATTTTTCACGCGCCAGTTCGAAATTTAAATAAAACCTTTTATTAGTTACATCTTGGTAGCCATGTTTCGAAGTAAAAGGTCATTCCATTTTTAAATTACAGGACAGATATGAGTTTACATAGTAATTTATCTGGCCGCAAAACGCGACAGATATGGATTTTCATACAACTTTTGCCGGCCGCTGCCCGCATGTATCTGGCCAGTACAGCAATCTCGAAAAAGATCATCAAAATAATGCTCACATTTCCAAGCATGTTTGAGAAAATTTATTAGCTTTTTGGCCGTTGTTTCGTAAGCATGGATTTTAGTTGTAGGAAAACAAATCAAACAGACTACTTTTGGATGGGTTACCAAACTGGAACATACACCAGATTTTAAATTAGACCTCCAGAAAACTACTGTAGGAACCGCGTCTGATTTGGTGTTGTAATTTTTGCGTGATACTGGAACAAACATACAGACAATTTCTTTGTTTTCTTTGTGTCATCTATTGGGCTTATTAAGACTCTTCATCCACATTTTTTTTAAATATCTCCCATGTACCATATCGTCCAGTTACATATTTATTATATTAATTAAATTAAGATTAGGATGTGATAGGGCTGACGTAGCCACGTAGGATAGAAGCCTCTTTATAAAAATAAAGAATAAAAAAATTATAAAGAGTAATAAGCTAATAAGAGTCTCACATTTTTTTTTTTATTATTTGTATTGAAATTCCTTATTATTAGACCCGGAAATGTGAGGGATAGATGCATAGAGTAAAACTTGATGAAATGTTAAAATATTTTATTACTTAAAGAATAAAATTCAATTATAATTACACTGCTGTGCTTGTGTATGAGGATTTAAATGAGCTTACATTATTTGTTTGTTATACAAAATGTTCACCCATTCTGAATCGATTTTAATCAATCTTTTTTAATCGATTTATTCCTGTATTGGTCCTCTACGCATTTTCTAAGGCTTAAGATATTTTTTTTTATGATGGGTGAAAATGGTATGGTAACCCCGCCTGCGCTAACGGGATACGCTGGCGGAGCACCAGTGAAGGGTGATAGATGAGAATGAAAACAGGCCAGTTAGCCCATCATGATGAATTCATCAGAAATTAACCATGATAGTTTCCAGGGGGAACCGCGAGGAGGTCGACCTGGTTGGGTATATTGCTAGCAATGGGATTCTCAGTCTCCATTACTACATTACTAACAATCCCCCCCCCCCCCCCCGCCTTTAAATATTTGTAATTTTGTCAAGTTTTAATCACTCTATAAAAGGCCGGGAACACGTGGTTGCAAATATTCATTGCCTAACATGGCAGTTTTTTATATATCCGAACTAAAGAAAAAAAACTCTCTTTTTTTTTTATATATAGAACTAAAGAAACTCTATTACACTAGTAAATCAATTAAACAATCTAAAATAAAAAAGTTTCGTTCTCCAGGAGCTGTCTACGGAGGGCACGTGGCGTGCGGCGGCGCGGCTGCTCGATATGATCGTGCTGGCGGTGGCCGCGCTGGTGCTCTTCGTGCTCACGTGCTACGCGATATCTGTGCTTTAATTCTTAGCTCTTCACCGTTGCCGTTTGCCTTATAACCGTTGGGTATTGACTGTTAATTGGTAATTCGATTAGGGCTAAAATAATCGAATAATAATCGATTATTAATGATTAATCGATTTTATTGATAAAAGTTCCGTAACTACAATGTATGTATAGTTTAAATCAAGAACATTCTGATTGATTTACGTATTTTTAGTGGGAATATTTGCCTAGTTTTGGGACTAAGAGTTCCGGAGAATCGCGAAACTAGTTGAGCAATTTCGAATAAGCATATCGAACAATTTAAATACGTAAATCATTCCAACTATTCTTACATTAAGACTAATCGATTATAATTGACTGAAATAATCGATAATACGATATAATAGATTAATAATAATTCACAGATAGTATTCTTTTGAAGGTCACAGTGGAGATGGAAATGTATTGTGTGATGATATATGGTGTTCAACGTACAAAATTGGTAGGACCACAGTAGGTCCTACATTAAAAAATTGGTTGAAGAAAGATCAAATAACGATGACGATGATTTTGAACAAGCTATCGATATAATCGATACTATTGCTAGTTTATATGTAATCGATAATATTCGTAAATCGATATTTAGATTATTCTGAATGAACACAATCGATTAATTGATAATCGATTATTATTAAGCAACACTAGTGGCTGTAGATGTTCTTAATAATATATCAAGTGCAAGGGTTTTCAAAGTTAAGTCAGATATTGGTGTACATTTATCAACAATGCAATCAGATCCTTCTCAATCAAAATCCAAATTATATTAATTATAATATTATTTTTAAAACTCAAGTTCATTTTTTATCTGATACATATATAATGAAAAAATAACATTATACAGGTATATTTATTTTATAACAATTCCGACAGAAGACATGAAAGCTCATGTCTATAGGCGACGGTTACCACTTTCCATCAAGTGGGGCGTCAGCTTGTTTGCCATTCTAAGTTGTATAAAAAAAGAAGAACCAATCAAAAAAATTAGGACAAGAAATTTGTTACTCTTTTCAAATAAATTTTATCGATATTATGCAAAGCGATTTATGATTATTTATTTACCAGTAGTAGCCACGTTTGCCAATCAATAGCAATGAATTTACAGTGTACAGAGGTATAACGCCATAGTCCTCAGGAGTGGCAACCGCAGTTAGGCACCAAATAGATAATACTTTTCTAATATTATTACAAGAATAACAAGTCACAAAGTATATATGTTACACGTCATGCACTAAAATTTTTCATACTACGCGACAATCTCGGTTAGATTTATCACATTTAACCCAATTTTTTTGTTTTAAATAGGTATCTTCGGTTTAATCCTTATTATTACTATGCTTTATACAGTTTCTTCGTTGTAGATTCTCCAAATAATTAAATAAATAAATGCATAAATAACTCGCGACCCCCGCTTTTGGGGGTCACCATACCTCCTCAAGGTGACGCGATCCCCACTTTGAAAACCCCTGTACTGGTACCGGTAAACTATGGTAGTTGTATGACTTTTTGTATTACATGTTAGTTTTTTTTAAAATTAGGAAAAATATTGCTGCTTGTTACCTAGATATTTGACTTATTAAATTACTAAAACTGAAAGTTCGTTTTGAAAAGATGAACTTATTTTGTGTGATCCAATTTTCAACCGATTTAAAAAAATAAGGTTCTCTATTAAAATTTACTGGGTACAGAGGAATAACACCTGAGTCCTCAGGAATGGCAACGCATGAGGGTATCATGGGCGAAACAGTATACTCTGTTATGTCCATGGTACTGCTCATGTCTATAGGCGACGGTTACCACTTTACATCGGGTGGGCCGTCAGCTTGTTTGTCATTCTAAGTTGTATAAAAAAAAAAATATCCATAATGTAGAATAATATCCATCCATCCACATAAACTTTCGTTTTTATAGAAGTACTATAGAAGGTGTCCCGTAAGTCATGGATCAAACGGATTCTAGCAATAGTGGAGATCACTCCCTAACAAAAACAAAAAATAAACAAAAAATAATTAAACCAATAGTTTACAAAATAATGAGAATTTTTTTTATTTTCTAAACATAGTTATACTGGGATGACAATACCAGTCCAATACCAAACCAATAGTTTACAAAATAATGAGATTTTTTTTATTTTCTAAACATAGTTATACTGGGATGACAATACCAGTCCAATACCAAACCAATAGTTTACAAAATAATGAGAATTTTTTTTATTTTCTAAACATAGTTATACTGGGATGACAATACCAGTCCAATACCAAACCAATAGTTTACAAAATAATGAGAATTTTTTTTATTTTCTAAACATAGTTATACTGGGATGACCTATTTTATAAATATTTAATATAATTGTGCATTTCACAGAATTATTTTTTATGTAAAAGGGAAACCACATGAAACGAAACTAAATGTATGCCTTTTGTATAAATATTAATTGAATTGCTTAAAAATTCTAAGTATCCGCGTACCTGTACGCTTAATTCTGAATGCTAATACTTCAGCTAACAGCAACAGTACGGCCAGAAGCGCCCCTCCACATAACACCTGTATAAATACATACTGAGTGTAGTACATAATTACAATATTATTTACTTGGTATAGAAACCAAGTAAATTTAATATAATATTAAAAATATAAAAAAAAATCATGTTTAATTTTAATTAATAATAAAAAAAAAAACTAAGTTTTCACATTTATAATAGTAGTGAGTATGACATTAGTTTTTCTATAAAATTATATATTATAAATAAACTAGCGACCCGCCCCGGCTTCGCACGGATGTACATTACATCACATCACATTAGAAACCTCTAAAATTATCAATGTTTCTCTACAATATTATGCACGTATTATACATATAAACCTTCCTCTTGAATCACTCTATCTATTAAAAAAACCGCTTCAAAATCCGTTGCGTAGTTTTAAAGATTTAAGCATACATAGGGACGGACAGACAGCGACAGCGACTTTGTTTTATACTATGTAGTGATATCCACACAATACTAAACATTTAAATATATAAATATTTGAAAATATTTAAATATATAAATTGTTAAATGTTAGGACACTTGATACGACACGACGATCTTATGAACTATAATAGAAGGTAAGATAGAAGGAAGGAGGGGGAGAGGGAGACCGAGACATAGTTACATCAGGCAGATCAAGGAAGGAGTTGGTGTCGTGTCGTATCAAGAGGTGAAGAGACTCGCTGAAAACCGTAGTGAGTGGCAAGAGCTCCACCGACAAGAGCGCAGCTCTTAAATAGGATAGATAGATAGGTTAAGTCCATGTGTCCTCTACGACGTTATTATATTATATTGAAGGAGAGGGAATTGTAACTAACAGAGATTAGAAGCTCCATTGCTAGCAATATACTATATCAGGTTGACTTCCAAGCGGTCCCCCTTGAAATTGCCATGATAAGTATTAATAATAATTCTCTCTGGCTTCTATATTAGCCATACCGCGTGATCCCAACATAGGGCCACCCCTTCCTTTCCTGTGGGTGTCATAAGAGGCGACTAAGGAAATTTAATAGTCATGGAATGGGAAGCAGCGTCCCCCTTAAAACATCACCAAAACCTAATTGCGATTGTCAGCTCGCCTGCCAAGCGTGGCAACTACTGGCAAAACCCTTCTTTTATGGGAGGAACTTATGTTCAGTAGCGGACGGTTTTTTTTAATGGATGATAATGGAATGGTTACCCCGCCTGCGCTATCGGTATACACTGGCGGGGCACCAGTGAGGCATGATAGGTGAGGATAAAGCAAGTCAGTTAGCCCACCGTGACGAATCTAACAGTAAATTAATCACGATGGTTTCCATAGGGAACCACGAGGAGGTCGACCTGACAGGATATATTGCTAGTAATATATCCTGACAGGTCGACCTCCTCGTGGTTCCCCATACTAATCCTCATTACTAAGAATCCCTTCTCCCTCTAGTAGCGGACATTATGATTAATAAAATAATTGATTAAAGTTCAATAGACCTGGAAAGCAGGAAGCAGGTCAGTGATCCCGACGCTGAGGAAACCAGCACTGGAAGCGTCACATCGCGGCCGCTCCGCCAGCCAGTGTCGTCGCTCGTGACCTATTAGGCCCACTTCACGTTGCCATCGCAGTCTAGCAATATATATCAATATAGTAATATTGCGTGTGATCCCGCCATATTATGGGACACTCCTTCCTTTCCCGTAGGTGTCGTAAGAGGCGACTAAGAAAAAGGGCAGCAACGCTTCTCTTTAACCACTTAATGCGAGGGTTTTTCTGTGAAATGAGGTCAACGGGCGCACTGGCGCACGCACTAAATTCGAACGAGCATACAATAAATATACACTAAACTCTATGAAATACAAACGGGCGAGATGGTATCGCTCCAGATAAAAATATAAACATAGTATTTATAAGTGGCTAGAGGTACTCTGGATAGCGCAAATCGGAACACATTTGATACGCGAGAGGGTCTCGTTCGAGATGCTTAAGTGGTTAAACATCACCAAAACCTAATTGCGTTTGCCTATCCGCTTACCAAGCGTGGCAATTACTAGCAAAGCCCTCAAACGGTGAAACCTATATTCAGTAGTGGATAGGATAATGGTCAAGGGATAGGCAGTAGCGTGCCTCTTTATACATCACCAAAGCCTATTGATTGCCAATCTGCCTGCCAATTTCTGTCGTAATATGTTGGGTAGATTCTTAGTTTTATGTACAGTTAACGACTTTAATTTTATCTTGTACTTAGCCTGCTGTACCTTATGCTTTTCCCCATGTCAATTAGAATCAAAAACACTTAAATCAAGACGTGATCCAAGTGTGTACTAAATTTAGTCATATTTATTCATAAAAATGGATTTAGCCGAATATGATTTCTCTAAAAAATTTATTCGCCACTGGGATTCCTGGTGGCATAGTAGTAGTCATCGTCATCCTTATATCAGCCATTATCTGTCCACTGCTGAACATAGACCTCCCCATAGACTGCCGTAAGTCGGTCTCGATCAGGGTCCCGATTCACCTGCATCCACTAACTCTCTGTAATGCTTTTGAGGTTGTTATTTCATCTAGTGGAGGGTCTACGTGAGTCTGTACGGTGCCACTCACAAACCTTTCTTCTTCATCACTTGTCAGTTCTTCGAACTATGTGACTTGCCCATTGACATTTCAGTAGCAATGTTTGTCAACTGTTGCCTTTTTGGTGAACGTAAATCTCAATACACCCAAATTCTGTCAAACATTTTTAAATCATGGCAGAAGTGAGTCTACTTAATCTCGAATTGATATAAAATTTTAATTGGCGCCCAACGTGGGACTATTCACGCATACTTGCAAGTCGTAGTCAGTGATGTGACTTTTGAGGCAATCGAATTGGTATCAAAAAGAAATCATATCGAATAGAAATCGAATACAAAAATTTGATCATAATTCAATCGTGTCAAAAGTTATCCAGCAAAACTCGGATTCTCATAGTTTAACTACATGCTACTCGGATAGAACTTATTTCGTTTTACCTGGACGCTAGAAGATCACGGTAGCCAGAGTGTTTTCTTATTGGTACGCTGACCATAGGTAATCGGAACGCCTCCACTTCCTTCAAGCCACACTTTTCCCGCTCCGTAAACGTTCTGCTAATTATGTCGTATCCTGAACTCTGTTCCACCTATTTTAATTGGAACTTTTATGACTTGGTAAACGATAAGAATAATTTATAAGCTATTAAATATATAATTTATTTATCACTTTTTTTTAAATGGATGATAATGGAATAGTAAACCCGTCTGGGCAATCGCTATGCATGGAAGTAGGTCAGTTGGCCCGTCATGACGAATTCATCGAGATCAATCACGATGGTTTCTAGGGAAAACCACATAGAGGTCATCCTGGCTGAGTATATTACTAGATATATATATTGGTTTGCTAGTCCCCGTTAGTACCAATTCCTTTTCCCTCCACTATTTATCACTTATCATCTATTTATCCATATCCTTTCTACTTTTCCTATCGTTCACCATTCATTATTTAGTGGAGAGAGTCTATTGGCCTGGTTGGTAAGCAATGACGACTGCATTTATACAATTTGCAAACACACTGGAGATTCAGACAGAAAGTGATAAACGTTGACTATAAACATGAACTGTTCCATGGATGCGTATGTGTATTATGATGATACTGCTTTGTTTTTAAAAAGACTTATTTATTTTGGATATTATGATACATATTATGTGTACCTGAAATGCGAAGAGGCCAGTGCGCATGCGTTCAATACCTTCGACGACGCTGAGGTAGGCACGTTCGCCCAACGGCAACAGTTTTCGCTTGTACAACTGCTGTGTCACCGAGTCAGTGCTCTCCTATGTATCCATTATTTTGTTTAATACACTATAGCCTGCAACTTCGTGTGTGTGGATTTTAGTAACAGGTAACCAGCTTCTAAATGGTGTATCAAGATAAAACCTATCACATTGTACCTTAACCTTTCAAGAATGTTCCTGAAGTACTAAGATATAATCTAATTCTAAGTAATGCCTCCAAATTGGTGCAGCAGTGTTTGCGATGTATTGGAACAAATACACAAAAGATGTAAACAAGCTGACGGCCCATCTGATGGAAAGTGGTAATCGTCGCCTATAGATATGAGCAGTACCATGAATATAACAGAGTATACTGTTTCGCCCATGATACCCCCCATGCGTTGCCATTCTTGAGGACTCAGGTGTTATTCCTCTGTACCCAGTAATTGATTCGATGTCAGCTATAATATATCATCGAGAAGTGAACTATTTCACTGGTTTACCTTCTTTTAAAATCCGCACGTACAAAGATATTAATGACTTGTTATCTAACAGAATACTTACAGCGAAGTACACCCGTTTGTAAGTGGTATCTTGGACGCCCATGCTCATTGGCGATCTTGCCAAGTCAGCAATGGTCTGTATGGCATCGCTGGGCGTCTGAAGAATCACCACTATCTTGGCGGAGTACGCGGTGAACGTGAATAATGCCATCATTAGTGCACAGAATATTACTAGGCGTGCTGATGCCAGGTTTGGGGTCCTGTAGAAACCTGCAGTTAAAAATAATATTTAAAAATACAACAAATGAAATAAATCCTTTTAAAGTGAAATCTGGAGTTCGGCATAAAGTAAGCTAGTAGTAATAAGTAAGTACTTACTTCATGACCAAGTCATGAAGTAAGTACTTACTTACTACCTTTGTTTCACATTATCCTATTATGCATTCTCTGATATTCAGCGTTACTTTTAGAATTTGCCTAGAGAACTTATATAGCCTGAGATAAGGGCTGATCTTAACCTACCTGACACCTTAGAGCAATATTTTTAATGATGCCCCTAAAAGAATTGCTTTGTGAGTCGACAGTGCTACTGGTCAGTCCATGGACAGCTTCTCTTAGTGGCACATTCCAACTGCTCAGACAAAAGTATCAACCTGCAGCCTCTCACCTAGGTGTTTCTAAATTCCGCTTGCCCTCGCCTCCTAACGTAGTCAAGAACATAGAAAGATTTTCATTCTTACCCTGCTGGCAAACAGTGCCGATTGCAAAAGTAAACGCTTCAAACGGAGTGAGCAGCGCAAGTTCAGGGTCTGTCTGCTGAAGGCGGTAACCGAGCACAGTAAGAAGTGCCGCCATCACCGTTGTCAATGCAAAAATTGCTGTCCACACTCCGCGACTGAACGGCAGCACAAATACATTTGACACTGCTGATTGGGACGGCTGACGGAACATAAAAGCACCCCTACAAAATGTTTGGTTAAAAAACTGTAAAAAAGGAGATTTTTGGGTAGACAGGCATTTGTAAGTTTCATAATTTAGAATAACGAACAAACTGATGGTTCATGAACATCACAAAATATACCGTAATGCCATTATATGTTGTGACGATACATCTCTCTATCTATATTTGTAATATTTAAATATTGGAAATGAATAAATTAAGTCCATTCCAATATTATACAGACTACATACGCTTTGGAATAAACTACAATATTACGGTAAATAACGGTGACCTAGATTTCTTAATGGATGATAATGTAATGGTAATCCCGCCTGTACTATCGGGATACACCGGCGGGGCACCAGTAAGGGACGATATAGCAGGTCAGTTGGCCCATTGTGATGAATTCATCAAAAATTAACCAGGATGGTTTCCAGGGGGAACCGCGTGAGGTCGACTTGTTAGGGTATATTGCTAGTAATGGGTCTGTTGGATTTTACTACTAACAATCCCTGCCCCCCCCCCCCCTCCCAGTGACCTGGATTAACAAGATGTACTTGTTGCAGTTTCTTAAAAATGTGAATTGGTATCGTATACTTTTTTTTTAATAAACCACGATAATCGAACACAGGCCAATTAAGAAGTCATTTAATGTAAGCCTGGTCGAGAATTGAATCCTTTATTATGTTGGAAGATATACTCGTAAATAGAGAAGATACCTGAGCTCTGCAGTCTCTGAACAGTAATGGAGCACTTTCATGCGATCCTCACGTATGAACATGGAGGTGATGCCGATCTCTGTATCGTTATGTTGAAACAACCCCACAAGACCATTGAAAGTACCATTATGATCTTCCCCATACAAGTCAACTTGCATCATATTGTGTCTGCAAATACACAATAATATTTCAATTAAAAGTAGGTGCTGAGTCGATTTTTTGTAAAAATTTTTTTTTTGCTTTTTGGAATAACCTCCAAGATGTCGACTTACCTGATGGGAAGTGGTAACTGTTATCTATAGACATGAACGACTTTTATAATGTGATATAATACGACTTTTGCATTGCTATTCCTTTAAATTAAGATGTTATAATACCGTGTGGTCACAACATAGAATGGGCTACCCCTTCCTTGTTCGTGTGTGTCGTATGAAGCGACTAAGAGAACTGAATGGTCGAGGGATGAGTAGTAGTGTCCCTCTTAAAACGTCACGAAAGCCTAACTGCGGTTGCCAACTACTGGCAAAACCCACTTATGGGGGAGGCCTATGTTCAGCAGTGGACAGTTAATGGGGATGATGATGGGGAAGATGTTATGCCTTCGTATCCTGTATTATTTCTCCTTTCAAACTGAAAGATTAAAATGCAAAGACAGCTATTCATCAGCAGAATTGAGAATTGTGCAGAGCGGAATTCAAGCTAAAGACTTTGCATAAAAGTTTTCCTCTAATAGCCTAATGGTAATAAAATCTTACAGTAGCCTATTGAAGGCCTGTACGCAAGTATACAATCACGTTGTCGAACATTAGAGCATGACGATCTTGTTTCATATTAGCCAATAATCACACTGTCATATCGCAGCCTTCAAATCCGAAGACAGTTTGAAGCAAACTGCTTGATTGTGACAGAAATAGATGAGATTAAAGGCTATGAATAATAATAATTATTGTTAATAAGAGAGATTTGTAAAAGATATTATATAAACACTTTTTTTAACTGTAACATTTCACAAATTTGACATGACTTAGTTGCAGTGTGCCTACCTAAAATGTAAATCTTCAGCACATAAATTTAATAAGGGATACGTAAACTTGGGAAAAGTGTCGATGTGACGGGTCGTCAAGTCCGACCAGCCTTTGAAATGCTGCGGTTGTGATATCTGAAATACGAAACAAAATTAATAAGCTCATTTTATTATCCTCCTCTCATAGAGGGATCCGTGCCCAAGACGTTAAAAGTTTTAGTTACCTTCAAAATTACTTTTTGGAAGTTATTCTTATTACATAGTTAATTAGATATAACCACAGATCTAAACCTTTTTGGTATATATATAAAGCACGTTTTATTATTGCTTCTTGGTGTTTTCAACCGACTTAAAAAAAGGTGGTTCCCAATTAGGTTGTATTTTTTTTGTTTGTTACCTCATTACTTGTTTTTTTTTTTTTAATGGAACACAATATTAAATTACATCAGCTTGATTGTATGTTTTGGATGGAGAAAGACATTGGCTTGCTTTTATCTCGGTCAATTTACATGTTCCGACCGCGGAGATGAATTATATTCTCTTCTGATTCACTTGGAAAAAGCCATTGTTATAAAGTTTCAGGTCATCTTTTTTTACAACACAGGGGGCAAACGAGCATGCGGCTCACCTGATGGTAAGGGACTACCGCTGTCCATGATCACTTACAACACCAACGGCATTGCAGGTGTGTAACTGGTAGTTAGCTAGTGAATAAGTAATTAAGGATTATAATAGATACACATACTCGTAATTTATACCTAATTTATTTAATACTCGTGACAAAGCCGTGAATCGCGCTCATGAATAAAGGCTTCTATTGCATTTGAAACTAATTGAGTTTCCCCGTATTTAAAACGTGAGTAAAGCCGATATAAATAATTCATTATCATATCAGCCTTTAACTGTCCACTGCTGAACATGTCTCCCCTTGGGGGATTTGCCAGTAGTTACCACGCTTGGCAGGTGGATTGGCAATCGCAGTTAGGCTTTAGAAATGTTTTAAGAAGGACGCTGTTCCCCATTCATCGCCCTCCTTTAGTCGCTCCTTACGACATCCACATGAAAAGAAGGGGTGGCTTATTCTATACCGGGACTACACGGCTATATAAATAATTACAACACACAATTTATACTTACAATAGTAGCAGATTTTAAAAACACATTCTTCAAATCCTTTCTCCTAGTCACAGCAGTTTGTTGTTGTGCCCAGAATGTCTCCAATTCTTTCAGACCGATATTTTTGTTCAGTTCCAAGTGAGTAGTTACGAGTGACTGATCAGCCTTGATCCTGTACACGTCTACCAACGCGTCGGGAGTAGACCAAGTGACGTCAGCATCAGGCAAGATGTTCGAATTCAGAAGATGATTTTCCATAGTAGAAATGTTATAAGGCGAATCGTGAGATAAGAGCCATGTATAGCGGTGATTGAATGCACGGGTAGACGATGCCTTTATAAAAAAAAATAGATAGTATATTTGAGTATTTATGTAATTCTAAACGTTTTTCTTTATGAAACATAGAATGGCAAACAAGCTGACGACCTACCTGATGTAAAGTGGTAACCGTCGCCTATAGACATGAGCAGTACCATGGACATAACAGAGTATACTGTTTCGCCCATGATACCCCCATGCGTTGCCATTCCTGAGGACTCAGGTGTTATTCCTTTGTACCAAGTAAATTTACGCCATATCCCACCCTTCAAATCAAACCAAATACGGCCATACAAACACAACTGTTTCACGGTTGAAACACAAATAGGACAGAGATGTCCAAGCAAACGACTTTTGTACAAAGTCTCCTTCTGGTAAACTGATAATTGCCAACAGATACCAGCTTATTTCTAATAATTACTATGGTAGATATTAATTACTAATTACTATTTTTTTACGTAGTTTATTTTTTACACAACTTACATCCATATTAAGGTTTCTTCAACGTTGGCAACGTGTACTGATAATGATAAAGGTCATAGCCCATCTGATGGAAAGTGGTAACTCTCGCCAATAGACATGCACGGCACTATGGAGCATGCTTTGCACTTTTTGAGAACTTTGGTTATACGCCTTCGTAGCCTGTAACTTGAAAGCGATAACTTGCCTTTTAAGCGTAAACAATTATGAAAGAAAAGCTAGTCAACGGCAGAAACGCAAATAGGACAGAGAACACAAGCAAACTACTTTTGTACAGTTTCTCTGTGGTAAAGATACTATAATAAATATATAGGTAATTTTATGCCGTACTTGAATTAATAACTGGTCGATGTTATAGCAATTAACGTCCAGAAATACACCTTCTCGGTATACATCATATGCTGGCAGTTCAGGCAATTTTTCCAAGTCTCCAACACGCAATCTGAAGCCCCATTGAGAAGCCTTGCGATGCAGTTCCAGCAAATCAACTAAATAATAGGTAAGACCAAATAGCTTCTTCGTTTTCAGTTTAAGTATATTTACTTTTTTTGTCTAATAATAAATAATGTCTAAGTATATAAAAAAATATAATGTCGCCATGTGGTCCCAGTATAGAATGGTCTACCCCTTCCTTTCCTGTGGGTTTCAAAGCGACAGAGGAAACTTAATGGTCGAAAAATAGGCAGCAACGTTCCTCTTAAAATATCACCAGTCTAACTGATGTTGCCAATCCATCTGCTAAGCATGGCAACTACTGGCAAACAGAATAGGGGAAGGTTTATGTTCAGCAGTGGACAGTTAACGGGTGATAACATATCACCCGTATATATAGTAGTATATATAGTATATACATAGTGTATAAAAAAATCCCATGTCACAATGTTCATCAACGCTAATCTCAGAAACGACTCGACCAATTTTAATAAATTTTTGTAATTGTGTATTATTTGCTCCAACTTGAGAGGTAGGAGAACTTTATTTCGATTAATAATAAAAAATATTCTTATGGACTTTTCAACTACTTTTACTATAAAAAGCCTTAAGCCCCATGGTTTTCAGCTAAATAAGTAACTATAAAGACAATTTCTGCACCCAATTTTGGCATGTGTAATGTAGCGTGATCGTATATATAAATTAGTATGTACATTTAGATTAATATGTATGTGAGCCGTAATAAAAGTTAATATTATTATTTTACCTGGACTCCAACACAAAAACATAGACAAATACGCGATGTTTTTGCTCGCAAAGAACGTCAATATAAAATTGATATCCATTCTCGATAAACTAACGCTGAATGCACGTTAAGTTTCCGGGACTGATTTTTAAACATCGATGTGCAATCATACATTCATACGGATTATCGTAATTTGAGTTAACCAGCCATTAGCGGTAATATCGATATTTGCTCAGCAATTCAACTGAAACAACCTTACTCATTTGTATTCTAAAGTAGAATGTTTTAAATGTTGAGTAATAACGACCTTGATGAAACGAATACTGGTAGGATGTTGCTTTGAGTGAATGAAGTCGTGAGTTTGATTTCTTTAAAGTCAATTGTTCCAAGTAGGCTCGAGTCTGATTCTATTCCCAAATATTCGGTGTCTGTTTTTTCTAAAAAAAGATATACCGGAGGGAGACTTTGTACAAAAGTCGATTGCTTGGGTACCTCTATCTCATTTATGTTTCTACCGTGAAGCAGTTGTGTTTGCATGGCTGTTTCGATTTGAAGGGTGGAAATGGCGTGAATTTACAGGGTACACAGGCATAACACCTGGGTCCTCGAGAATGGCAGTGCATGGAGGGTATCATGGGCGAAACAGTACACTCTGTTATGTCCGTAGTACTGCTCATGTCTATAAGCGACGGTTACCACTTTCCATCAGGTGGGCCGTCAGCTTGTTTGCCATTCTAAGTTGCATAAAAAAAGTCTGAGAATCAGACAAATAACTCGATATTAAGTACTCTCTTGACCGACTACGTCTCTTAGTTATATGTAAATAAAGTATATAAATAATGTATAGTCATAGATAAAAGAATATTTTTACGGTATGATCTAATAAGAATAGACTCTCTATAACTTGAATGACCTTTAGGTTGGCCTTTAGTAGTCGAATTACTGATTACTCGAATGATTAAGTTTTGGCCCTGCATACTTGTTTGGTATCTATGTGTAGGGATGCAAATAAACATTAAAATATTATATTTTTTACTGCAGATAACAGACATCCAAAATTATTAGTAGATTATAAATTGAAAGTTACGGTTATAGTTAGCTCTGATGTTAGGTTTTATACTAGTATAATTTTAAAAAAAGCAGGGTATATATCAATGTTTCTAGGTAATCATATCTACAATAAAACCTCTATACGTGAATATGAGGATGACAAAAACTACAATAAGTCAACAAATTATAAATATATTTTGTTCTATCTATAAACTTTCTATATAACGGTCGAACAGACGTCGGGCTGCGTGAACAGGTCCGTGTAGTTAACGAGCAGGAACAAGAGCAGCGAGCCGATCGCCGAACCGAGCTGCGTGGCCACGCCGCACGCCCGCATGCCACGCGCGCCGCCGCCACGTGCCCACCCGTACACCCACATGCGAGCGTACGACACCACAGCCAGCACGCACACCCATGACAAAACCTGTCAATAAAAAAGAAAGGAATCTGTTTAAAAATATTTAAAAAAAGAACTTTTATAATGTAATCCGCCATTTTGTCGATGCAGAAATTTTAAAAAATGTCAATCTATTAATCACTTGTATGCCAAATAACAGCAAAACAGCGATTTAAACTAATTTTTTTTTATAATATCATCACATTATTGAAAGACGGGCTTTTTCCCAGATTAAAAAAAAAAAAACTTTATATAACGTAACTATATAAATAAATTATAGATTGATTAAAGAAAAGATACCATTTGTAACAACATTTATTTTATTGGTACCTTTCAACTTTTAAGCTATGCATTTTATCAGGGCTGTTGTGGCGGAGTTCATTTAAAAAATATTGAGTACTACATATTGTCACCAGAATTAAAGGTATATGAAAAATTTTATCAAAATCAGAAGGAAGTGGTACTAATTCAGCTTGCAAGGTTTAACCTAAACTAAAATACGAAGTTAAAAGAAAGATTATAAAATTGACTATGCTCTATCTGAGAGAGAAAACCAGAAACATGACACCAGCGTGCATGCATTAGACAAATTAAAAGTGAATAAAGCAAGAGATACATATAGAAAAAGAGGCCTTTAGTACTCGGTTCTCTAACAAGAGAGTTGGCCTTGAAATACTTCTCTATTTGTAGTTGTTCTACTAGTACATAGAGGATAAAAGCTTTTCTAATACCAATATGCAGTATTTTGCGATAACATTTTACAAATGCTAAGTGCATAACAATAATACTAACGACTAAAGCTTCACCGCTGGTCTGATGCTGCAGAGGTGGTGACGGGCTCATCACAGCCGTGGTCAAAATGTAGACGAATGGCACCACAGCCACCGACAGCATCGCTGCGAGTGCCTTGCTAGGTACCGGCGGCAGCCACACGCCGGCCAGGCACGCCATCGGGTTAGCGCTAGTACCCAGCGCCACCGCCAGATGGTACGCTCGCGTTCCGTACGGCATGCACGAGTACGACTGCACCGATGGCAATACGCCGTTTGACAGCGCATTCAGAACCGCCATCAGCAATAGAATCGACACCCATTTCGGATGCAGGAGCGAGTACTGCTGTACTGCTTCCTCATCTTTCACTGCAGCCGTCAGGGACACTCTTTCCGACGCAAATATTCTAGTGCTATCTATAATTGTGAAGCTTAATAAACTAGCAATTGAAAGGACTCCGAGTACGAGCATAAACACTGTGGAGTCGAATCGCGCTGGCGGATACACAGGTATCGTAAAGTTCCCGGAGGGTACGCACTCCGGCTCTCCACCTACGCCCTGTATGAGCGATAAGATACTTGGTATAAATCCACTCAATCCCTCCCCAACTAAATAGGTAGCTAAGTAGATCTCCCGGAAATACCTTAAGTACGGGTAAAATAATACTGAACTAGTACAGCCTACGAGACCGGCGAAGAACGTTAACGATAGGAATGCCATGGAGCGTTCTGTGTTGCCGACTGTCGCTGTCTTCGTGTATAGGAACGCATTGAGAATGAGAGCTAATGCACCAATCATTAATAGTCCATATATGTAGGTTGCATCCTTAACCCTCGTAAATATACGCCGTAATAAAGCGTAGAGTAGGAGGCCAATGTTAGCGATTTGTACGGCCACAGTCATAGAAGCTGGTAAGGCCCAGCCCTCGGGCAGCCTTTCGACGAGTAGTGGCAGCTGCACGTACAGGCCGTTGATGCCGAGCCAGGTGCCCATGCCCCAGCACGCCATGAGGACGTCCAACAGGACGCGTCTCTGTGTCGCCATCATTTTGACCGCGATGTTTCCGTTTTCACTCAAACAGGGTGAACGCGCCGTCTCCTCGTTGAGCCTGTGTGTAAATCGAAATTTAGAAACAAATGAAATAGAACTTTGAATGCTAATTAAATAATAATTAAGTATAATTCCTTTATAAGGTTATGCGCATGAGTTCGCCTGTTCTGGTACTCTTAGGCGCTATGTCAATTATTATACTATTTAATTATAATTAATAAACAATCCAACGTTATTGTATTACAAATACTGCATTTGTCATTGTTTCACGTAGCACCTAGGTTTATCTTCAAAAGCTAAATTTGCATACCTTGTAACTCCGTCAGGAAAATCGACTTTTAGCTTATTATGAGTAGATCAAAAAGTATAAAAAATAAGTACATTTTTGTTTACAAAGTATGCAAAAACCGATGCTATATTGCAAAATATTTTTTCAACGTAAAATATTTATTACCATTCTGTGCATATGTATTGTTTATTTTATATTGTCACTAGAGGTAACACAAATGGCGTCAGAACATTTTCACATTTTACAATATGTCATCCTATTTATAAAATTGTAAACAAATTGTTTTCCAGTTTAGATGTTTTATCACAGAACGTGTATTGGTTGTTTTTATATTAGCTTAAATGTATTATTTATAATAATATTTTTATCAATATCACATACTAAAAGATAATGTAAAGAAAGGTGTCGCGCGTATCACAAAACACATGCACATTTCACCGAGTTAGTTACTAAACTGATATAGAAGTACAAATGTAATTGTATCTTTACAATGGTGGCATAAAATTCTTTATTATCATCTATTAATTCGTAATCTATGTTCATACATATGTATGATATAATACAAGATCACTGATAGGTGGTAACTAACTGGTAAATTATAACACGACATCATAAAGATAACATGTGTTTATTAAATTCTAAGTTACATTGTTGTAATGTTTTTACTATGAATAAATTAAGACATGTTGCCATAGTTTAGATAAGAACGTATTGTGTTATTAAACGACTTTCGTGTTACATGAATTCGTCTTTTTTTATTAAAATTCTGGTACGTATTCTATTTGAGAACTTCTTTTTACATGAAATCGCCTTTTTACTTGAAATTGTTGCATGTATTTTATGTAAAATATATATTTGGAATTATTATTTTTAAATGCTTTAATATCTGAAACGTAACACTGATCAATTCATTTTTATTTACTTTAGTTCTTGCTTACTATAATGGTATATATAGCTAAATTCAGTTGAATCTATAACCTGGATTCATCTGAATTTAGAATATATAATTAGGAAAAAATATCTAGTATTTCTTATCAAATGTTGTTTAGTGACCAAGCAAATTTTAATTCATTACTAATTTAATTTATAGAGTATTTATATTAATTAATTTATAAGAATTGGTTACTATTTTATTTAGTTTGAATCGAAGCATTTGATTGTTTCTGCCTAAATGGGAGACAACAGATATGTATGTATGTATGTAAATAATCTAATACTCCGTACATTTATTACTGACATACCGGATGACAGTTCATAGTTTTAGCCACGGAGAAAAAATTTGTAGAATGCTATATATATTTGTATCCATAATTTGGATTCAACTGAATTTAAAATATATAATTTTTTTTTTTAATTAATAATAGTTTCAATAAAAATTGATTAATATTTCATTTAGTTGTACTGAAACAAACTATATATTTAGCAAAATCCTTTTTTTTTTAATTTGGCTAATTATATGAACGAATATTGATATTGTTATATTGCTTATGTTACTAATACTATATTAGAATGGTAGAAGCCACCTAACCCAGCTATGATGAAAAGTAAATTAAAAAATTGATGAATGTGCAAATTGTGAATAATGTAAAAAGCTATAGTCCCAATGCTACTCCACATACGTCTAACGTCCTACATAAAATATAAAGTATTAGCATAGTAATCTTTTTTATAATTCTTAGAAAACCATGCGCGTAATGTGAAATGTTTCCTATTAAGCAATTTTGACTCGTATTACGTTTCCTTTTCGAGTAATAATGGAATGGTTGACGAAAATAAACAATTTTAATTATCAAAATAATGTCTAATTATTGCATTAGAACATTGATCAACTAAGAATGGACACAAATCTATCGCTCATATGGCATTCATTTCGTTATTTTTTTTAATTATAATACTTTTACTTACTACTTTTTTCTAACAAAAATTTCATATTTTACAATGATTAATAAGAAACACATTGCATGAATACTGTATATAGAATGAAACTGAAATCATTAACGACCTTTTAAATTATCTACCAGTCCAGTGAAACTGAACACTTTCAACCGATTTCCAAATTCAAGATCTCAATTCTGTTGTATTTTTTACTTTTGTTACCTCGTAACTCCGTCAGTTCTAAATCGATTTGGAAAATACTTTTTTTTTTATCTAAGAGAATAGACTTACAGATTGGTCTTATAGAACTTTTATCAAAAACGGGTCTAGCAGTTTAGTTTTTAAATTAAATTAGTTGGTATTTCCACAATCGAAGTCGGTTTTTTTTTATGAACCACAACCTTAAATTTTTCTTTGAGAAACATGGTTCGAAAAAGAATAAAAAATATTTACATTTCCATTCTAGTAAATAAACAACTGAAACCACTATATTAATATACTTTCATAATATAATACAAGTACAGTGTGTCCAGAGAGATAAACTTTTCATGTCGTTTTTGTATGCCTGTTTTTCATCCATCTTTAGGAAAAATGAATCTACAGAACACCCCTTTAAAAGCACGCTACCGACTTCAGTTCCGCCATGAAGTGTGGGTTATGAAAAAGCTGCAGTGTTACCTACCTGTCAGGTGCGAGTGATGGTGCCATAGTAGTGCGCCGGCGATGGCGGGGCGGCGCACGCGTCGCCCGCGCCACACCATCCTCACCTCACCTAACACGTTACCACGCATGTTAGCTGCACACAGTACCGGCCTTAGGGGTGGTTTAAGAGAGGCGACGAGGTCTAGGAGGGGCATCATAGAACCAACAAAGATTTTTATCAAATTCAATTAATTCTTTGCAGGGATTAATAAAGAGTTCCCATTTATTCATTAGTTTTTTGACACGCCATCAAAAACTTGACCAGAGAGTTTATTACCAACTTTTTAAAACTTGACAGGTTTAGGTCATGTGTTCACAAACTAGCCTGTTTTGGTTTTTGTAGAACAGCTTTTTTATTCTGTGTCAAAGTTTAAGCGTTCGTAACAAGCCCAAGTAGCCAGGGACGTCAAGTAGGCTAAGGCCAGTCCTGGATGAATAACTACTACCACTTTTACTATCAATACATATAGCAAACGTTACACTTGTTTGCAATCCTGTGTTTTCCTACCAGAGGCGTAGCATAGACCAAATGATAGTGCTTACATAAATTAAATTATAAACTATTGCATATAAGCTGTTAAAGCATAAGACCTTGAAAAAAAATGAATTCTTTAAAAAACTAGTCTTTGACCAAACATTTATTAGTATTGATATTCTAATAAAAGTCTGGTCCAAGTTCCTGCCACATGAAGACTTTATTGCATTTAATAGGTACGCCATTTGCATAGTGACTATAGGTTTAACAATAATTGTGTAACGAACAAACAGACTCACTTTCATACACATAATATTATGCAACATATTAACTGTTTGTATCGCATATCCTGTGTAGTGAACTATCTGATTAGATAAGCTTAGTTATATCATTTGTTTAGTAAGGTGACATCTTAACAGTACATTGAACTCAATATTATTAAAATGAATAGTGCCTTATTCCTACAATCTTTAAATTAAGTAGAATTAATTTATATATGTAAATTTTCATTCAAGATGTGATTTTAGTACTTTCATATATTTATTTTATTATTTATTTTACACACTTACTTATTATTTACACTTTTTTTATCACTTATTTATTTTTTTATCACTTATTGCATCATTTATAAAATAGTAAATACATTTAATATTTACATATATTGTTTTATTCAAGTTCAAAATTAAGAAAAACTATTATGACTGACACAGTATTCTCAGTAATGTCATGATACTGTTTAAGTTTATAGGTTTTTATTTAAGTTAAGCATATTTAAGTTAACACTTTCCATCAGGTAGACTGTAAGCCTGTGTTTGCCATTTTTAGTTGTATAAAAAAGTAATTTATTTCCAAAACCATTAGATTAAATAAAAACCAACTTTATTCAATTGGCCTTGTGTTAAATTGGAAGCAATTGTGAGACAATCAATATGGAACAGTTTGATATGAGACAATGGCACAACACATAAACATAACTGCTACATACACTATGAACTGCTACATAGAGCAACACTACGATTGTGTTATGGCATATTGTTGACATTACAGTCTGTTCAAGATTTTTTTTTTATGTTTGTTAGTTTGTAACAAACAAATTCAAAAATTATTCAAAGCAATTTTGAAAATTCTTTTACTTATAAAAAGCTTTATTATCAACAACTAACATAGGATACATTAAAAAAACTAGAGATATATGCTACAATTAAAATAATATATTATTATTTGTAATATTAATACATATTAATAATAATAAATCAAAACACCAAAAATTTGCTTATTAAAGCTAATATAAAATACTAATCATCTCTATATCTCTCATCCCATGCGAAGCTGGGACAGGGAACTAGTATTGTATATAGTCTGCTAAAGTTCAATAAAGTCCTCCAGAACCGAATACATTTAGAAAACAATAGAAACATATTTTGAAGTGCAATTATAATTACATTATAGAAAAAACAATAGAGTAAGATTAAATTATTTGTAATATCAACATAAATGTTGAAAAGGCAATCACCATAACTATATACCAAGCAAGATGATACTACATTGTTAAAAAACCGCTAGTTTTAACATGTTAAAGACAGCATGTCAACTGGCGGATCACTCTGCAACATCATTACAGGACCACATGCTCATAGGTGGGCACACAACATGTTTTACTTGTAGATCGTTTATACACCGATGAGCTTGATAACAATTTATGTACAGTAGTCAATATGTCGCTCTCTCGAAGAGATACTGTATGTAGCGGACTTTGTTAATTTCACTTAGAATTATTGTACACTAAAAAAATATAAAAAAATTATATATGCAATTTACAATAAAAAAAAATGACAGTCAATATGTAAGAAATACGATTTTATAATGCGGTCTTCAACGTGTTAATACCCATAAAAAAGTTGCTCTATTCACATGCTGCTATATAGCAAAGGCTGATGTAATAAGGTTTATTTAGTTAAAACATGTGATGAAAATCAATGATATAACAACACGAATGAAAAAATTAGACGCTCACCTTGTATGATCCATAGTAGATCTATCTATGGAATATCTAGCACCACGGTCTCCCTCAAGTCGAATGAAACATCAAAGTGCAAAGTTTTCTTTTAAAGAAACGAAGACTTGCGCCTAATTACATCACTTTTTAATATCAACCTCTAAATACATAAAAGTTGTACATATCGTTAATTAACTGCTCAAGTTTAATTTAATACTTATTAATGATAATAAAAATGGTAATTATGTAAATATTCAGAATTTCATTATTAATTATAGTTCTACTAGGTATAACTTGTCTTAAATATTATATATGTGAATAAACTTCAATAATATTCTTTACAACGTTATTTTAAATTTATATAAAAAAATAAAAGTCTACTATAATTTCGTGAATTACATTTAATTTAAATAACATTTAACACATGAGAGACTAGAATTCTTTTTCAACCACGGTACAGCTGATTTGACACTGTCACTGTCAGACGCCACTGTCAATCAATCTAGATATTTCGATTCGGAGCAAAGAACAAGGAATTACGTAGAAGGAGTGATAAAATTGTCAATCTTTGCAAAATTTATACGGCCGTATAGTCCTACTAAATTCAGATACAAACTATTTGCATATTTTCTATATAAACTGTGTCAGATATATAATCTAGTAATGTAAAATTTGTCATTGACAAATAATTGACATATCAAACATTTTCTGTACACTAGTCTGCTATGAATTGGAAAAAATAGCAACTGATGGTGTATCTTTTGTCCTCTTTTTACTAATTATAATTGCATAAAAAGAAAGGAGGCAACCACATGATTTATAGTTTTTATTTTATCATACCTTCTATGTAATACTTTATTCATATATTCGGAGTAGTGTTGAAAGAGAATCTATCCTTAATCTATGCGCAACGGAATCACAATTTTTTTAATGTATGATAATGGAATGGTAATCCCGCTTGCGCTATCGATACACGTTGGCGGGGCACCAGTGAGGGATGATAGGTGAAGATGAAAACAGGTCAGTTAGCCCATCGTGATGAATTCTACTAGAATTAACCACGATGGTTTCCAGGGGGAATCGCGTGGATATCGACCTGATAGGGTGTATTACTAACAATGGGTCAGTTACTAACAATCCCTTTCCCCCTGTATTGGCATACCTAAAATTACATTCTAAGAAGAATCTTAAAAAAGGTGTATATGTCTATGTCTAGGGTGGGCATAAAACAATTCTAGGGTGGACACGGTCCACCATGGCCTTTCTTAAATATGCCTATGGCGACGTGTGTAATATAAATATTATATAAGCATTAGTCTTGATAAATTTACGATCTTTATAAATATAAATAATGTGTATATGTACGCTTACACATATCTTTTGTTATTATGAATCAGTTCTAAAGTCGTCACATCGTGCGGCCTTATACCTGACGTATCCAATCATTCCTAACAACTGCGTAAATTACTGCGACATTTTGTTACCCACATGCTTGCTCGATCGTTTCCAGAATACGTTTACATAACCAATTATCGGTTCTACGACAAATGTGACCAGGCCATTGCCAGAGAGAGAAGGGATTGTTAGTAATGAGTACTAGAAGCCACATTGTGAGCAATATACTCTGAAAGTTCGACTTTCACTGGCCTTCTGGAAACTATCACAGTTTATTCTTATTAGACTTAATATAACGTACTTCGAGGGGCCAATTGACTTGCAGTCCTTATCTATTACATCTCACTAGTGCCCTGTTAGGGTATACCGACATCGCAGACAAATTTACTATTAATCATCCGTTAAAAAATAAACATTGTCTTTTCAATCTATTGGTCCCATATCAACGACTCTAGTTCTTCGACAAATTATATTGCTTTAAATCTGATCTCTGAAAAAAACTCCGAGCTTTAGCCCTTTCCATGGCTCGCTGAGTGACTTTGGGCTGAATTATTCCCATCGTCAGTATCCTCGTCTCGACAGCATGTTATTACTGGAAGAATGCACTAAAATAAACTATTATCTTTAAATTTTGCAAGATGGACGAAATAAATACGTGGCGTAAATTCCTAAACGAGCACCTCATAATTCTACGGTGCGAACAGCCCATCTAATTCCCCTTAAATGTGGACATAATGGAGTGTGGCTCTGCAAACTTGGCTATGTAGGAGTGCTCATGGCTCTAGCGCTCGACCAAATCAGAAACATCGAGCCGTATTTAATTTGTTTAATTTCTGATTATGACAATTTTAAGATACTGTATATTTTTGTCCTATATTCTGTCACTGTTTTATTACTTTATTAAAGTAGGCAGTTGAATGAAGAAATATACATAAAAATCTGACCGGGATGCTTATAAATATATTATCTTACTATTTACAACCCAACATTTTTTTTCCTTTCCCGTGGATGTGGTGAGAGACGACTAAGGGACAGCGAGGGATGGGCAACAGCGTCCCTCTTATAACATCTCTAAAGCCTAACTGCGATTGCCAATCCACCTGCCAAGCGTGGCAACGTGACTTAAGATTAGCAGTATAAAAAATGTATATGTAATACATACACATTCCATTGTTTCTGCTTACACTAATGGGAGACAGGCGTGACAGATATATATGTATATATGTAATACATATAAAAAAAAACAATTTGAACAACAATAATTTTTTCTTGTAATTCTTTAATTAGTACGTACCTAAATGCTTATGAATGTTGGAATAAAACTCTATATTGGTTCGACAGTTATTTTAATTTAAAATTTCAAAAAGCAAATGTAATACAATAATCTCCGCATGACTCGTCTCATAAAGCTTTACACATAAAGTAGTCTTTATTTAATAGTACAATAATAATTAATAAATATAACAAACAGTGAGTGAAGTACTCCGGCGCTAATTAAAGAACTGTGTTTTCTGCAGCGTGTTAGCAGCCCGCGGCCGCCAGGCGGCGCGCCCCACGTCGCATCGTCGTGTGGCGTCGCGTCGCTACATCGCGCGGCGTCGCGCGGTGTCGCGCCGCAACGTCCCGCGGTGTCGCGTCGCTCGCCCGCACCCTGGCGCTTACTTGTCCTTTTCGCTCTCTGACTTCCTGCCCAATGGCACTGCTGCTCGCACCCTGTAATAGACGCATGACAATTGGTACTATATTTTAGTAGTATAGTGTATGAAGTTTAATATTTTTTGTTATTTTTCAACTGGGCACGAGTGTCGGTACCTATATATTGGGTTTTTCTGAACATTAATTACAGAAAAAAAAATTATCACCCATTTTGATATCATCATCTCAGCCATTATCTGTTTATTGCTGAATATAGACTTCCCCCATAGACTGCAATAAGGAACGGTCTTGAAACACCTGCATGCACTGACTTCTTGCAATGCATTCGAGGTCGTCACTCCATCTATTGAGGGGTCTCCCTACATAGAGTTCCGTACTTATTTATTATTATACGTATATTACTTGTACGTATTTTTCCATATGGGATCGCCATTCAAGAACCTTTCTTTCCCACCGATCGTCGGGTTCTTCGAGTTATCTGACCAGCTAATTGCCACTTTAGTTTGCTTATCCTTCATCTATATTATCACCCACACCGGTCTTACATTTATATCAATTTCAATCGAGTATTCACGTCGGTATTATATGTATATTGAATTACTGATATTTAATTTATTCATTATTGTGAAAATATATAGATATTGTTACTACAATATATAGTATATTATACCATATATCACCTACTCATTTTCGATCCTATATTTCTTTGCGAAAAAATATTAACTTATACCGATAGAACACTATCTTACTTAAAAGGATGCTATGTTATTATTGAAATTTCAGTCTGTAAACTCATACAAATACATGAAAGCTATGAAACGCTATAATAAAACATAATTCACAATTTATAATTAATTTTACGTTATTTACAAGCCCGTATCAACTGTTGTTATTCGTGACTTGAATAATAAAACAACAGCCAGTATTTATGTGGGTTATGGTGTTGCACGACTTTCGCTCACGACACAACGTCCATGCGAGTGAAAGTGGTATCTCATTCGCGAATAATCAATCAATACATATAATAAAATCGTAACTGATCGCTGTCTGTTACATGGAAGATATATAAGAAAAAAACTATTATAGGGGCGCTTTACGATCGCAATAGAACCCAAATCAATGATTTTAGAATTTTTGTCTGTTTGTCTGTACGTTTGTGCACGTTAATCTCAGAAACGGTTTAATCGATTTGAATGCGGTTTTCACTAATACGTTGCAATTTGCTCCACTTAACATCTAGTGTTTGTTTTATTTCAATCGGTTCATAAATAAAAAAGTTAAGTATAACATATAAGGTAATGTCGCGACATTCAAAAATAGTTCTTAATTTTATGAAAAATATTAATAGATGCAAAATTATTATGAATAATATAATAATTTTGCATCTATTATATAGCCCCCAAGCGTTGCCATTCCTGAGTCCTCAGGAATGGCAACGCTTGGGGGGTATACTATTTCATGGGCGAAACAGTATACTCTGTTATGTCCATGGTACTGCTCATGTCTATAGGCAACGGTTACCACTTTCCACCAGGTGGGCCGTCAGCTTGTTTGCCATTCTAAGTTGCATAAAAAAAAATCAATTCCATTTCCAAGCAAAATAAAAGAATGGAACGGCTGCAGCCGTTATACGTAGATTGTAGTGGAGCAAGAGTACTCACTTGGCGGAGATCTCGTTGATTTTGCCGCGGGCGAGCTCAAGGTTGGCATCTACTTGCGCCTTGTTCATCTCGTACGCCTTGGGCAGTGTGAACAGCGCTATCCAACCTGTGGATGAGGGGGGAAAGGAATCGTTAGTGTAATATCGATACCGCTCCGACATCTATATATTGGTTTTGTATGGATATTCATGGTTCATATAAAGGTTATTATCTATTTCTATATCGTTCATATATAGGATATGTGTATTTATAGCATATATATATTCTTGCACCAATAATATCCAGAGGGAGACTTTGTACAAAAATCGATTGCTTGGGTACCTCGGTCCCATTCGTGTTTCAACCGTGAAGCTGTTGTTTGCAAGGCTGTGTTTCGGTTTGAAGGGTGGGATATGGCGTGAATTTATTGGCTACAGAGGAATAACACCTGAGTCCTCAGGAATGGCAACGCAGGGGGGGTGATATCATGGGCGAAACAGTATACTCTGTTATGTCCATGGTACTGCTCATGTCTATAGTCGACGGTTACCACTTTCCATCAGGTGGGCCGTCAGCTTGTTTGCCATTCTAAGTTGTATAAAAAAATAAAAAACCCACAATACATAGATATAGCTATATATTACACATCTCTAGTTAGTATTTTTTTTATGATTTACAAAAAAAATCTACTCTATTGTACCCCTCGTTATTAGGAATGTATCAAGTTTTTGATTGACATATTATATTCCTGTTCAGGTTGATGACTCACCTAGGATGATGAGCGTGATGCCATTGAAGCAGGCGCCTACGTACGTGAGGCACCACAACAGCACGCCGAATTTGAGGGAGTCAACCAGGTCTTCCACCAGGAATAACCTGCAATTTTCACAAAATATATTTGAGTTAGTATACATAATAATTGGATCCAAATAAAGAAATACTTTCACAATTTTTTAAATAATATTCAATAAGCTTTGTTCTCTTTTAGTAGGCGTAGACGACCTAGAAAGTTATTGTCACCAGAGGTCGCCAAAAGTAGTAATAAAAGTTATAAATCTTACTAATTTAGTAAAATTATAACTAGGTAATGTCTGTATATAGGAGATATTTAAGAAAAAATATGACGATGAGTTAATAAGACTATCAGATGTCAAATCAATATTTTTTAGAAAGTTTGTCTGCCTTTTTTGAAGTTGGTTAAAGATAAAAACAGAAATAGAATTTATATAGTGTGAAATGTAATTAAATATATATATATATATATATATATATATATATATATATATATATATATATCAAGAAAATTTAATTTTAAACATTTTTGAATTGTCATTTTCTATGATGTTACTGCTCAATACAGATTACAATACAGCTGAGAACAATTGGCAAGCAACTCAGTTTTTGCTTTTTCAACCGACTTTAAAAAGAAGGAGGTTCCAAATACGGTTGTATTTTTTCTGTATTTAATTCAAATAATTTTTTATATAAACCGATTTGGAACATCCTTTTTTATTTAGTTTAGTTTTTATATTAAAATAACTGGTTTTGCTATAATTTAAATCAGATTCTTTAAATTATCTTAATTATTTTAAGCAACAGCTGAATTTTTTAAGTTATGAATTTGTATAAAAAAAATATTACTAAATAGTACAAGATTCATATATGAGGCCCATTAAATCAAAGACAGCTAAATCCAAGTCTGTCAAATGTTCAGGAAACCACTTAGTCTATAACTACGATATTCTATATTTTAAACCAGATTGAAGAAAATTAAAATATTAGTAATAATAGGAAATTTAATTATTTAAAACTTTTAATTAAGAGGAATAGCACTTCAGCTGCCCGCTAGCAACATGTTTTCTAACTGCATTGGATTGACTGGAAGAGATTTCTGTCAGAGATAAGTCCACCCTTGCTCATAACATTGTAATTTACAAGTGCAATAAAGAATATATATATATATATATATATATATATATATATATATATATATATATATATATATATATATATATATATATATATATATATATATATATATATATATATATATATATATATACATATATATTGAGTACAGAGTAAAAATAAAATCAGTTTTATGGCGTTTAGTTGCCTTTGATTTGATGACATACCTGCGCAGCTCGCTAGCTGCTGCATTGAGGTGTGCGGTGGCCGCGGCGGCGAGGGACTGAGCGCGCTCCGCCGGGACGCTGATATCCTGCTCTAGCAGCCATCTGCAATATCAAAACATATCATTATAGACTTTATCAATATTAACTTATGATCTATTTTCCCATCGGCCAAATATGTTTATTTAAAGACAGGTAAGGTTGCCTGGTACCTTGACGTGTTTTGTGTGTGTTAACCTGAGATATACGGGGGGAAATGGATTGTTAGTAATGGATACTGAGAATTCTATTGCTAACAATATACCCAACCAGGTCGACCTCCTCGCGGTTCTCCCTGGAAACTAACTCATGGTTAATTCCTGATGAATTTCATCATGGCTAACTGGCCTGTTTTCATTCTCATCGATCACCCTTCACTGGTGCTCCCCCAGCGTATCCCGTTAGCGCAGGCGAGGTTACCATACCCTACATTTTCACCCATCAAAAAAAAACTTGAGATATACGGGGGAGGATATTGTATACTTAGTGGGGACTAGCGGTTCCATTGATAGCACGTCGACCTCTACACGGTTTTCCTGGAAACCACTATCGTGGTTAATTTCTTGGTGCATTCGTCATTAATCATTCCATTTTCATACCATTATAAAACTGAGATATGTTATGTTAGATTACTAATAACCCCCCCCCCCCCCAATAGAACTATTAAGATTATAATTGATATAACTTTTTTTTTTAATAATGTAGATACCATAGTAACACTTTTCAGTATCAAGTAAAATAGCTGAGTGAGTATCAATAAGCAAATACACTCATAATAATGTCTCGTTGGAAACGTTTAAGTCCCTTATCTGATAAGTGTAATTGGTTTATCTAAAATTATCTATATTATTATCGACTAATGAGCAATTGCCGTTTTAATTGCGCCAATAATTCCGCAATCAAAACATCTAATTGATTGGTCGTCTAGTATGTACATTGGACTCTCTTTTTCGCGCTAAGCCTCCCCGTTGGACCGTTGTGCCCATATGAGAAACTTAGCATTGTATTGGTCATCCAGGTTGTCTGTAAGAGATTGCTTTTAGCGATAAGGCCGCCTTTTGTATATGCGCATTCTGTATAAATACTCCTTGTATACATCTCTACTGTGCGCAATAAAGAATTTATTATTATTATTATTATTATCCAGTATACACACAATATTAATATTCGATTTTTAAAAATCGCGTGATAAGGGTCTTTGAACTTCTCTATTTAAAAAAAGGCTGAATTTTGTCACTATCTAATTTAGACCACGTCGAATAGACGTAAAATTTAATGGCGTCGATTTATTTAGGGGACACCTATTTAACGTTCATGGTAAGTCCATTTCACGTCTATTCGGTTTGCTCAAAGGCCGGTCCAGAGGGCCTACCATGAAATGTTTTTCGAAATTTCGGAGTCAAATGAAATAAAATTTCATAATACATACCGTTTGGAAATATTAAAAATGTTAAAATATTGTTCCTTTGGACTTCTATGATAGGATGTATGACGAACGAAATTTTAAACTCCATTTATTGGTCCGATTTTGGTATAAACAAAAACACGAAATTGAGTCAAAAATTTCGGATTTTCATTTCATGGTAGACCCGCTGACTTTAACGACGCGGCGTTTGACGTAATCAGTTTCAATTTTGAGAAGATTTCTTTTAATTGAGTCATCTCAGTCTACTTATGTCTACATATGTAAAAGGAGAAACTGACCTCGTGGAACTGATTAATACGACCGAAATCTCGTTAAATCAAATTAGACATATAAAATTCTGCACATACATAAGTCCTTTCTAATATTATAAATGTGAAAGTGAGTTTGTTTATTGCCTTATAGCTCCTTAACAGCTTAGCCAATCACTATGAAATTTAACATTCATGTACTATATAGAATGGAAAAGAATATAGGCTACTTTTTATCCCGGTCAAGCGAACAAAGTCGCGGTTAAAATCTAGTACTTTATACATCCTATTAATATTATATATGTAGAAGTGCATACATATATTTGAATGTTTCTTTCTAAAATACGCTTAAATGACTGAACAAAGAATGAAAGTTAGTACACCGATATGTTTGTTTATTAACATTTTATTATACAGTAAAGTGTTAAATTATAGAGCACAAAGTTCTTAAAAAAAAAAAGAATAAGTACAATGGTGGAGACTATGTCGTAATTTCAAGATTACCATGTAGTATACTTTTTATTCTACTAATTGACATGGCCAAAAAGCCTGGATAAAGCTGGTATAACATAATACAAAAAGTTATTTTTCAAAATATTGAAAAGTAACTGGTCAACAAATAAAACTGCTTGGATCCGCTAATTTTCTGTATTAATGAGGTCAAATGTAATTAAAGACGCAAAAGTACTAATCTTTTATCGACTACTTAGTTCTTATTGTTCAAATTTTAATATTAATTAGTAAATATCGCGTCTATAAATTGCTGATGTCAATAGTTTCAATCAATCCAGGTCGCATGATGATGATGATTCTACAAAGCCATCATTATTGCAACTCTAAAATAATTAAAGAATGACGATGCAAACTTTATCAAGCTACGTTTCAAGGTAATTTTTAAAATATATTTTTTGTCAATTTCACAATGCCCGCCATAGATAGGAAATAATACTAATAATTATATTTGTCTCTTAAACAAGCAAAATGGACTATGTCTCAGAAGTTCCATAGTATTCTGCCATAGATAGCCTTCTTTTTCCGTTATTATTAACCCATTCTTACGGTAGAAACTAAATGGTTGCGTGCAGTGCGATTTCAGAGGAGTTCCCTGCTGCGAACACTCAGGCTATGTAATGAGCTGCCTGCCGAGGATTTCCCTAGAGCCTATCGTATGTGGTTTCCAAGAAGGATGTAATAAGGTTTCGCGAACATTCCAGAAAGCCTACCATTAAATTTTTTCCGAAATTTCGTAGGCGATCGGAACACAAATTAGATATTAAAATCACATAATAAAAATGGTTTAATTCTAAAAATTTTTTTCTAAAATTTTTTTTTATACAACTTAGAATGGCAAACAAGCTGACGGCCCACCTGATGGAAAGTGGTAACCGTCGCCTATAGAGATGAGCAGTACCATGGACATAATAGAGTATACTGTTTCGCTCATGATACCCCCCCCATGCGTTGCCATTTTTCAGAAATGGCAATGCATTCAGGAATCATTCTTTTGGACTCTTATGGTAGGATTTATGACGAATTAAAACGTTTTATTTTTTACTTGGCATATTTTAGTACAAATATAAGCACGAAATTAGGTTCGTAATTTCAGAATTACATTTCATGGTAAACCCCCTGGTGTTATAGTCTACAATAAATGTTTAGCATCAGACGAGCAGTAATTTACCACATTTGTGGTATAAAAAAAGTAGAAGTAAAGCAAACGTTATACTGTGAGGTATTACAAAAAGTGGATACGCTGTATAACTCCACGTGTCTTATAAATGTTTCATTGTATTAATGAACTTGATTCTCATTAGAAATAAACGGATGGCTTTAGTTCACACTCGCACAACGTCTGTTTAAACACAGATGGTGAGAAATGTCCACATTTTACACTTAAAATTCCATTTTATACTCGTGCAATCGTTCCTCTTAAATAGTATAAGTATTTATTTCAGTAAAAATACTAATTTAAATTCTACCAGAGTAAGACTTTATACAAAAGTAGTTTGCTTGGGCACCTCTGTCACATTCGTGTTTCTACCGTGAAGCAGTTGTTTGCATGGCTGTGTTTCGGTTTGAAGGGTGGGATATGGCAGTGAATTTACAGGATACAGAGGAATAACACTCGAGTCCTCAGGAATGGCAACGCATAGGGGGTATCATGGGCGAAACAGTATACTCTGTTATGTCCACAGTACTGCTCATGTCTATATGCGACGGTTACCACTTTCCATCAGGTGGGTCGTCAGCTTGTTTGCAATTCTAAGATGCATAAAAAAATTGATTTGCAAAATGTATGCTACATAATTCTTGTTATTTATTAGGTAGTTTGTATGATACATTTTGTTTTTTATCATACACATAGTATTAGGCATTCAGAAAAGCTACTTCCTAATCCCGGTCATGCAGAAGAAATCTCGGGTTGAGCTAGTATATACACGAAAGTTCACATACATAAATAATGAATTAGCAAAATTTCTTCATTAAAATTAAATAAAATTTACAAATTAAACGAATCAAACTTTGAAGAGATTCGCTAAAACAAAACCGGTTTCAAGTTCTAAAAGATATCATAAAAAAATATATTTATCTGGTTTATTCCACTTGAATAAGATGGGGGGGGGGGGGATCTTTATGGATGCAATAGAACCCAAAACGATATTTTTTTGAATTTTTGTTTGGTTGTCTATACGATTGTGCACGCTAATCTCCAGAAACGGCTCAACCGATTTGAATGCGGTTGTCACTAACGCTGCGGGTTGCTCCACTTAACATTTAGTGATTGTTATATTTCAATCGATTCATAAATAGAAAAGTTATATCAATATAAAGAATCATATATAAAATTATATAAAATAACCGATCAGCTAAAATATTTTTTATTATTTGTATTGATTTTCGATTTTTTTTTTATGGATGATAATGGAATGGTAACCCCACCCGCGCTAACGGTATACATCGGCGGGGCACTAGTGAAGGATGATAGGTGAGAATGAAGCAGGTCAGTTAGCCCACCGTGACGAATTCAACAAGAATTGTTTACGATGGTTTCCAGGTTGAACCACGTGGAGATCGAACTAATAGAGCATATTGCTAGGGCGCCAGCGTTAGCCATATGCTGATAGGGCACCAGCCCTATCAGCGTATACCGATAGCGCGGGTGGGGGATAATGAAATAGTGATTTCATTATCACCTATAAAGACACCTATCACCAAGTGTACCTTGCCAGTGTAAACCGACAGCGCAGGCGGGGTACCATTCTATTATCCTCTAATATAATAAATGTGAAAGCTTGTAAAGTTCGAATATTTATTACTCAATCATGCTTAAACGACTTTTTTATACAACTTAGAATGGTAAACAAGCTAACGGTCCACCTGATTGAAAGTGGCAACTGTCACCTATAAATACGAGCAGTACCATAGACATAACAGAGTATATTGTGTCATCCATGATACCCATCATGCGTAGCCATTCCTGAGGACTAAAGGTTTCATGTCTCTGTACACTATAATTTCATTGTCATATCCCATCCTTCAAACCGAAATATAGCTATGCAAACACGATTGCTTCGTGGCAGAAACATGAATGGAACAGAGATATCCAAGCAGATGAGTTACTACAGTCTCCTTCTGGGTGGACGGATTTGAATGAATTTTGGTACACGAGTAGGTTAAATCCTTACTCAACACATAGAATACTTTATAAATTGACCCAGGTAAAGCTGCGGAAAACAGCTAGCCATCCATAAAGGAGTATAAGGTTTCATAGCAAACAATGAATGTTGAAATGATAATGCCGACTCACTTGAAGGGATGTCCCTCGTTGGTCTTCTGTACTGCTTGTAGCACGTTCTTGTATATGCGGAAGGCGACGGCTGCGGACAGTGCGAGCAGCGATGCGTACGCAAGCACCGACACCACAGAGCAGCACGCTAACGCAATCAGCAGCGCAAGCCCGGCTCCAAGCGCGGCGCCCGACCGCGCCGGCGACCGCCAGTAGATCAGAGATTCCACTGCAACACGCAAACACACAGGTCATATTAATTCTCTTGTAATCATAACGTACCATGGGAGATTGTTAGCAATAAGGAGGTTAGTTCTCATTGATAGCAAGGTTGGACTTGGTTCCTCTTGGAAATTACCGTGGTTAATTCCTGGTGAATAAGCCACGATGGACTAACTGACCAGAATTCGTCTCTATCGTTTCATTATTCACCAGTGCTCTACCAGCGTGTACCGATAGCGTAGGCGGGGTTGCTACTTCTAGTTCATCAATTAAAAAAAAACTGCGTACCTTTTCTAACAAATAGTAAATGATAAGGACATCATCATCGTCTTTCATGCATTATAATTTTGTAGATTGCTGATAAGTTAATACCGCTACATCTTTCTACGTGACCACTGTATGTGTAATCCTAATAAAACCTGCTTGAAAAACGGAAAATTTATTGTTTTTACTTTTACTTCGCTCTTATTTGAGGTTTATTGTCACTGTATACATTTTAGAGAGTCTACACAATGTGTTTTGTGTGTGAATATAGGTACCATAATAAAAAATACATTGGAAAGTAAAATACACAGTTACCCGTTCTAGATGACAACGTCCTACACGAAAAAAGAAATGTAATGCGAAAAAATAAAAACCGTACGAAGAGACAGTTCTCACACCGAATTCACACAAAAAACAAATTAAAATGCGAATTTCTCACATAACCCTAGTTAGATATAAAGAACTTTTTCTGCTATAACGAGCAATATGTTGAATTGTGTCCACGTTAGCAGCGAAATGTCTGACTTCTTCCGTCCACGTCTTCACGGGTCTGGTCGATAGAGTGTTACTTTGTACACACTACGCGCGCACTGTGAGGAACGTTTGGGAATGCTGTAGGAATCCGATCCCTACTTGTTCGTTTGGATTGATTGTAGTGTACCTGGACCACGGGGCGGGAGTTGCTCATATTGAGCGGCGTGTCGCGGCGACTGCTTGGGACGCGCCATGACGGCGGAGTGAACGAGCCGCGGACGGCAGGCCCCGCGCACATGACGGGCCCGCACCGCCACGAGGGCCCACCTTTCTACACACGTCATCTGACCCGCTGCTGACACCATGGGTTTTGAACGCAGCGGACAACGCGGCAATCGATACGCGACATTTTATTCGATATCTACTCGATGGTTATCGGCAAAGTTGAAAACGATGTGGCGATTTTTGAAGAAATCGAATCGGAATCGATTCTGAAAAATTAAGATTGGTTCGTCGTCTATTCAAGATGATATCAATTTGATTCAGATTGTATTGTATCAAGTCACACCGCTGCCGAGAGATAACAGATATCTCTAGTATAAACAATCTGATGGATTTTAATGAATAAGGTGTCATTATAACAACAGTTTAATTATAAGAGTTTTTCATAGATGATAAGCTTCATAGATACAAGACAACAGAGCTATACATGGCAACCATAAATTGCTCTAACATAAATTTATTCTCAGTTTCGATAAGGTTAAGCTCTATATCTCCCAGTCTGTTACGATTGAACTAAAGCATTACCTTTCATAAATAAACGCATAAATGAACGGGAAATATACTCTTAAGCGATCAGAAAATAAACTCATAAGTGATCGAGTAGATAGGCAATCGGTAATTGTGATCGATTCCTTCAATTGCAAGCGGCTGCGAGTTGAGTCATGCGGCTAAATCGATCGTGGCTATTACTGGGGTCAATAACATCGGTTTAAGTCAGACAATAGTTGATATATCTATATAAATAGTTTAACCATTCAACCGTAGTATGTGACACTGAGAAATTATTATCTGAGATAATATATTCAAATAATGATAAAAAAAGCACTGCAATTCTGCAAAAATTACTTCATTTTCATTTTACTTAAGTATTCACTTCATCTAATTTTCATTTTTGGCAATGATTATTGAAACTGAATGACTTTTGAAAACAAAAATGAGTTTCAAAAATTGGTCGCACATTTACTAACATTAAATCGAAATATCGATTAAAGTTAATTAGTTAAATTCAAATTTATTCGTTTACAGAATACGATATGCAAAATCACTTATGGATCCTCTAGTAAAATTCGAGTTTCACTTTACAGAAGAGACATAATACGTATGCAGACAATTGTATTATTTATCGAATTTTAAAGATTAATTAATCGAGAGAAAATTCGTAACGACAAGTCACTGCAAAAATCGATACATATCCGAGGAAAAACTTAGAGCGTTGTCACCAATGCGTCACACACATGCGAAGCAACACCCACATGTATACCATCCATGACTGTACCAGAACACCATACCATGAATGATGATACAATGACGGGCTGACTGGTAGTCGTGGAGCCTGTTTTGTTGTTAATTATAACAATTTAGGTGAATGTAGAGATGTACTCGTATAATATGAAAGTATTAGGCTTAAGCCTTTTTATAGTTTCATAATTTAAGATTGTGTTCCAGAAAAAAAAACCGACTTCAATTGTGGCAAAACCAGTTCTTTGAAAAATAAATTACTGGGCCGCATTTGATATAATTTCTATGGGATCATTCTGTAAGTATACTCATTCAAACAAAAATAAAACAATTTTTCAAATCGGTTTATAACTAACGGAGTTGTAAGGTAACAAATATCAGTGACCGTTTACCATTAGATTAGCTGTATGCTGGTCAGCCATCTTTGATATGAAAAAAAAACAGAATTGAAAACCTTCTTTTTGAAGTTGGTTGAAAAGTAAAGTTCTGAAAGATTTTATTCATTTATTTTAATGATTATTGTTATCAATCGATAGGGTGAGTTCACCTACTCGTGTGAGTGTGTTTGTGTGTGTGTGTTGGTATAATAATTGTACCATATTGGCCTTATTTTAATTTTGTGATGAAATAAGACACAGTATTCCTTCGAGTTTAAAAAATAATTATTAAGAAGCAAACTCTACTCGTAAACACAATTCCATTCTCATATTTTAAATCTAATATGTCTATAAAACATCTCGTGCATCGGTGCATTTTGTTTTAAAATAAAATATGTGAATTTATAGAGCAATAATAATTTTATCACAATGAAAGTAACCCAGATTTTTTATAAACATGCCTAACGTAATTTTAATTTGCCGAATACTTTCTAAATTCATTCATTTATCGATTCGGACGCGAATCGAATGTGGCCCACGTGAGAAACATGTTGATCTAACGAGGATGCCATTGTTAGCAATGGGTACTAGAGATCCTATTGCTAGCAAAATACTCTATCAAGTCGACTTTCACAAGGTCTCCTTTGGAATCCAGGTTAATTTCTGGTGAATTCATCACGAAAGGGTGACTGACCTGTCTTCATCTCCCTTGCTATCCCTAATTGGTACTTCGCCAGCATAAACCGATATCGCAAGCAGGAATACCATTCCATTTTCATTTCATAAAAAAAGACTATAGGAACGCATTCTACAAAGCAACATATTGAACTACTATGAACGACATAATCAAAGAGTGGGTAATATAATATATAGCAATATCTGTATATTGTAGTTATAATAGCTATATGTTAGTCAAGTAACAGATATATTAAATATTTTATTTAATATATCTGTTACTTGACAATATACAATTACGAAATAAAATAAAGAACTTAATGGATTGGATGAATATTAATAAATAGATAGGGCAATATTAAAATGGGTGATGTCCTGTTTATCCGTTAGCAATGTCCAGAGAAACCCAATATATAGATATTGGGGCGGTATCGATAATACCCATGCCTCAATGCAAGCAAGCTATAATCGATCGACACGCTCGATCTAGCGGTCTAGCGCATTGTTGCCAAAATAAATACGAAGGCGCTAATGGAAGCGGTGTCAACTTGGCAACCGCTGCAAGGGGGGACGGGAATGCTTCGGCAACGGTCAATGCCACCGTAGATTTATCGACCACTCTCGGATGAAAGTAATTTTAGTAACATGTCGCAAACTAACTGGGAGCACGCGTCTTTCAGCATTTGTATTAGTATTTATTATAATTTATTCATTTGAATCTTTGATTATGTGCGAAAGCAAGCACGTGTTTAAATTGGAGCATTTGGCGTTGTCCCATCTCCCATTCATATTGTCGTGTCTACCTCGATGGGAGAAGGGCACATTGCTCTTGCATAAAAATTGTACCTATGGGCGGCGGTAATCACTTGCCACAAATGATTGATGCCCTAGGGGGCAAACGAGCGTGTGATTTCTTTCTTTCTGACGTAGATATTTCTTTATCTTGCTTTTGCGACATTTTAAGTTTATAGAGTACAAATTATATGTAGACACACGATTTTGAATTCTAAATTCAAATATTTAAAATCTAATGATTGTGTCTCCAATATATCTAACCGTACATAGGTATTTAGTAACGATTGAAGCTGCTTTGATTTATTGTTAGATTCGTCGCGGTGAGCTAATTGACCTGCTTTATCCTCACCTGTCATTCCTCACTCAGTGTCCCGTCAGTGTATACCGAAAGCACAGGGGTTACCAGTCCATTAGAAAAAAACCATGCAGTAGGCATATGTGATTGCAGTTGTCATACATACTCCTACATACACTGCCTGTTGTTTGAACTATGTACCTACTCTGTATGGGAAATGGTTAAACACTGATGCGGTCCTGCGTGTGGTTACAGTGAACACTTGATCCGTAACCTGTAATTGACACTAGTGTGTAGATTGTTGGCTGCGAATACGCCATCTAATTCACATTTAATCTATGTAAATAAAGGTTGTACAATTTGTATACACAAGTAACTTAATAGCTTATATGTTCTATATACATGATTTAAGAGTATTTTTTAATTTTGCTTGTATGCCTGCCTGTTTAAGTGGGACGCTTCTGTCCATCCCTTTTTCATTAAGATCCTTTAATCGTTGCTTACGACACCCACGGGAAAGTAAGGGGTGGCCTATTCTATGCCGGAATCACACGAGTAATATATGTTTGTGGGGGGAAAGGAATTGTTAGTAACGGAACCTGAGAA